GGTTCCCTAGGCCTGGCAGGTGATCAGGGCTGATTGGGGCCTCTGGCTGCCAACCAGGGCCTTTCTTCTTTCTGCGGTGGTCAGCACATTGTGAGTGATCAAACTCCCATGAGGACACTTGACATATTGGCCTTTTATATATATAGATGTTGGTATAATATATCATCCTTTCCTTGAGAAATACAAGGGTTTTTGTGACCAAGCATATTATTATTGACTTTTTTCATGTGGTTAGAAAATAAAAATGCTAACCCCAAGGACTGGTTTCTGAAGTATAAGCTCTTGGGTCATGCATGAAAACATGTCCTCATGACAGAATGTTATCCTGCCAAACAAGTGAAAGGTTTTGCAATATTGTTCTCTGTCTGCTGTCACCCCTTAATTCAGTTGTCGGCAAACTGTGGCTCGTGAGCCACATGCAGCTCACGAGCCAAGGTTTGCTGCTCGGTTGACTAATAATGAGTTTGCCAACTACTGCCCTAGTGCATCTAACTTCCTTCCTTTACTGTCCCTTTGAACACAAATGCATGTTGAAGATAAGTGGGAAGTTCATAATTGGGATATTGATTTAACTAAACTAACATAATAGCTCCAGAATTAAAATTAAAAGTTAGTATATAATTTCTAAATTTTGTCTAAGTGTGCCTCCATCTAAGCTGTTATAATTGGGAACTTTCGAATTAGATGGAATATTAAAAACCATTTAGTCTCATCTCCCACCTAATAGAAGACTCATTCTATACCCTTCCTGTTGGTAAATTATCTATTCTTACCTCCCTCTCCCACTCTTCCCCTCCTCTCCCCTCCCCTTCTTTCCCCTCCCCTCCCCCTCCTCTCCCCTCCCTTTCTCTTCCCTTTTTTTTACACTTACCTTCTTAAATACCAGATTGTAACTATTTTAGACTTGTAGGTCATTTGGACTTATTCAGAACTGCTCAAAGGTGCCATAGTCATTATGTAACAACACAAGTCTGGTTGTTTCAATAAAATCTTTTTTAAAGAACAAGCTACAGTTTGCTGACTTCTGCCTGACCTATTAAGACCTCAGTTTTCTCTGTCTGGTAATGTGATTGTTCTCAACTTTTGTACCAATTCATTAAATACTATTTGGTCACAACATTTAGCTATGTGAATCTATCAAACAGTAATAGCTGCCATTTAATAAACAGAGTGTGTGTACTATGTGTTTGACATAGGTAATTAAATTGAAGTCTTAGAAGCACACTGGGAGGGTACAGTGATATTATTACCAATTTCCAGAAAAGTAAGGTATATGCTGTACTGTTAAACAGGTGCAAAAGAACACCTTTTTTCTCAAAGGCAAAATGTTTTATTTTTTCATCTTGGTCACAGGCATGTGTTGGGATACTGTCAGGTATAGTAATTGGTTGGAATCACCATACAAACTGTTTTCTAGTCTGCTATTTTGGGAGCTTTACAAAGAAGAGTTGGTTTTAAATGCCATGTCTTACTTTTAGAAAAGAATGATCCCTAGGGGAACGAGTGTGTTCTTGTTGTGTTTGCAAATTAGTCTGTAGCCAGCCTTCCCTCTGCCATTTCTTAAATCATGGATGGCAATTTTGTGGTTAAACCTTTTAGGCCTCTCCCTCAATACCTTCATATGCAACTTGAATACACTTAAAGTAGCTAGAATCACTTTTTTGTATACTTAAGTTTCTTTAGGGTTGTTTTGCTTTTAGTTATATCTTAGAGTAATTTTTGTTTTGTTTTTATCATGGTGTTTATTATGGCCTATCAGAAGTATCTTTTCTGGTGTGGAATTTAAAATGTTTTAGTCTTAAGTGCAATTTGTCATAAAAGCCAGGAGGTGGCAGTGTTTTCCAGGTGTTGCTTAAGGTTTCAGGTGCTGGAGGAATGTTTTTCAATACCACTAGAAAGTAAGAGGACTTAAAGAACAGTGTATTATTGTCTGTAAAATCATAGAAATTCTACAGCGCATTTTAATGAAAGCTAGAAATATAACATTTCCTGAAGTTAGGACAGCTGCAATTTTGACTTTTCTTCTTATTAGAAGGATATATTTGAACTCATACTAGGTATTTACTTCAGAAACAAGAGAAAACACCCAATTAAATCACGTCTTCATTTTAGATCATGTTTACTGGAAAAATAACTGATAACTATATTTAAATAAAAATGGAATTAACTTTATTTTTCTTATAGTAAATCTAATAAATATTCGTTGTTTTTAAAAAGATAAATCTAGACTACAAAACAAGAGAAGAAAGAAGTTTTAAAATCATTCAGATGCCAACTCTCTGAATACAATAATTGTTAACATTTTGACTGTTTAAACATCTAAGTATAATACATACTTAGGATGAACTATGTGTGTGACCTCATCTTTAGAATTTAAGTTGCTGCAGTATAAAAATAATCATCTGTTTTGAAGTTCAAGACTTCTTTGCATTCACAAAGGTTTGCTTTACCCCTTCTATCTTGACTTATTTCTACCTTATATATTGTCCTTTAATTTTTTAAAAAATATATTTTATTGATTTTTTTTTTATAGAGAGGAAGGGAGAGAGAGATACAGAATAGAGTTAGAAACATTGATGAGAGAGGGTCATCGATCAGCTGCCTCTTGCATGCCATCTATTGGGGATGTGCCCGCAACCAAGGTACATGCCCTTGACCGGAATCGAACCTGGGACTTTTCAATCCGCAGGCCGACACTCTATCCACTGAGCCAAACCCATCTTGGCTTGTCCTTTAATTTTCTCCTCAGTTTACTAATTTAATACTCAGAGAAGTACATCTTTAGTGAATTTGTTTTATCCTGTTTAATGTAAAAAAAAAAAATCTATGTGAAGCAGTAAATTTGACATAGTTTTTTTTATATGAAATTTCTCAATGTTTTTTTGTAGCTTATTCTCATGGGGTGTGTGTCAATTAGGATTGGGTTTGGCTGCATACATCAGAAATCCAGTATGAGGGTCTTAAGAGAAATAGATTTTCTCTCATATTCATGACATCTGGAATTCAGAAGTACAGGGAAAATAAGGAATTTTATTACCCAGAGCCTCATGATCTCAGATGGCCCCTTGAGCTCCCCTCTCACATCCAGACTCCAGGCCACAAGTATGAAGACGGGCAGAAAGGCAAAGAGTTTTTTTGCTAGCTTAGATCAGTCCCTTTAAACACGCTTTCCAAAAGACACAAAACTATTTCATTTTACATTTTATTGACAGAGTCACAGTTATGTGACTTTTTGGCTATATCTGTTGCCTGAAATGTGTAGTATTTTATTTCTTCCACAATGTGTGTGGCTTCACAGCTGGGTTCTGTCCCTTGTGAAGGAAGGATGCAGTGGATGTTGGGATGAGCAACTTGGAGCTTGTACCTCACTCACAGTTACAATGTAATCATGGGAAGTGATGCTAAGAAACTTCTGTTCTGCCAGTTGATTTGAACTCATTTTATCCATAATCACTTTTGGTTTTATGTTATTATTTCCAGGATATATGTGCTAAGTACTTTTCATACATTTTATATAACCCCCCAATACTATCTCATGGGCACCATCCTTGTTACATGTCACATCTGAGAAAACCAAGGCACAGAGAAAATGCATAACTTGCCCACGTTCTCATAACTAGTAATTGATTATTTAGACATTGAGCCTGCTGCTTAAGATCGGTATTGATAACTGCCTCTGTCCTCTGCTTATTAATCTACCTTTATACCTATAATATTAATAAGGGTCACTGTCACCCCTACCCCACACCTTAAACATAAAAATCATTTGAGTTTGCTTAAACACACACAAAGAACAGGAAAAATGAGAAAATAAGCAGATTGTAGGGAACATAAGTGTGAGAAAATACAATGAAGTTGAGGAACAATTGACACACAGAATTGGATGCACTCTGGTTGTGTGGAGGTGCCAAAGTCTTGGTCTGGCTTGTTGCTGGGTTCTAGTATAGTGGAAGGCAGGAAAACAATATTGAATTTTCTTTATTTGGACACTTGGCATCTTCATTGATTTAGTCACATAATTTAAATCTGTTGCCATTTTCTGATTTTCTCTTTGTAAATTAGGTGAGTAATCATTATTTATTTAAGATATGGAAATCCAAAGAAAAATTTTTTAGCTGGAATATGGGTCTTTCGCATAGTACAAGCTAGGGCTCATTTTGTTTGTTTATGGCAATCTCCTGTCAGTAGTTTTAAAATGATAAGCATTTTGTAAGTTGTGATCTCAATAAAAATGATATTGTGCTACTTGTTAGAACGCCTTCCTACAAACTACACGTACGCACACACGCACACACACTCATCTGTGAGCTCCTTGAGGACAAAAGGCTTGGCCTCATTCACTTTTTTTCTCCAGTATCCTCAATGTCTAGGTGTTCAGTAGGTGAAAAATAAATGAATGACTGGTAAATAAGAAACATTTGTTTATAAATGTTATTAATAATATTTCTGCTTCTTTAAACTTAATTAAGTCATTTACTTGAAATAAGTGAAAAATAAGTCAGACTTTTTATAGCCCTAGCAAATGTGAGATAGGTTATAGTGCCATTAATTATTAGACATTGGAACCATAAAGTGCAGCCCTTCAACTTGGTGTGTTTGGAGAATTGCCATGACTGTGATACACCTGGAACATAGTGGTTGTATAGGCAAGTAGCAGGAGATAAGTTTGGCAGCCTCCTGGCATGTGAAGTTATTTATTAAATTTAAGGAAGGAAAGTTAGATTTTAAAGATACCTTTTAAAATTGGCAATTTTAGTGGGGAATATTAGGGACATTTGATTTGAATAACATTTAAAAATAAATAGTATGGATTTTTTTGCATTTTAATTTTCAAGTTTGTGAAAAATTCAGAAAACATTAAAGTTTAATTACTTTATTTTATTTTGTTTCTCAGGATGTGATCTTCGTGGTGGGAAGCTAAGTTTTTAAACTACCCCAATGGATGCAGACAGTGATGTTGCATTGGACATTTTAATTACAAATGTAGTCTGTGTTTTTAGAACAAGATGCCATTTGAACTTAAGGAAGATTGCTTTGGAGGGAGCAAATGTAATTTATAAGCGTGATGTTGGAGTAAGTATCTGAATTTTGGTATGTATGCTAATTGTATAGTACTAGGAATGATGTACTAAAATGTGTTTATAGAGCAGCCAACACCAGCTGGTGGTCTGTGAGGTCCGAAAGGTTGGCGACAACTGCTATAGATAGTTTATGAGCACCTTACCATGTGCTAGTTGTGCTGGATACAATAGTGAGCCGTGTAGAAGTGGCCGCTTTTCTCATGAAGTAGCAGCTTTTAGAGATACTTATCTCCAAGTCTTACCAAAGAACTCATTGGCTACTAGACATTTTATACTGTTCTCTCAATTTCTTTTGACTGAAAAAGGCGACTTTTATACTTTATGTGTATATTTATTTAAGTACTAGAGGCCCAGTGCATGATTTGTGCACTAGTGAGGTCCCTCAGCCTGGCCTTTGCCCTCTCACAATCTGGGACCCCTCAGGGGATGTCAGAGAGCCAGTTTCAGCCCAATCCAAACAGGCCAGGCTTAAAGGACCCCATTGGTACACGAATAATCCATATGCACTTAAGATCTTGGGTTAATCTCTTTCCGCCTTCCTCCTTCCCCGCTTCCCTCTAAAATTCATTAGTCTGTCCCATGTTCCATGCCTGTGGTTTCTGTTCCTGCATTGAGTGTCTGCCCCCCTGGTGATCAGTGTGTGTCATAGCTACCAGCCAGATGGTCGGTCGCTTCGGCTTTTATATATATAGATAATTATGTTTGAATGGTGTCCTAGAATGGAGAAAGTCAGATTGTAAATTTTGTAGCATGTTGTCATAGCCTCTTTAATTAGCCAAGATAGTTGGTATTTTTTTAGTAGCAAATTGCTGAAAATTTGGTTCATATCTTACCCTGTACATTCTAATTGTAGTTTTTGTAAAACCTATAATATTGAAAATAAAAGCTGTTAACTTGTTTTTGTTTTTTTTTTAAATATATTTTATTGATTTTTTTACAGAGAGAAAGGGAGAAAGAGAGCTAGAAACGTCGATGAGAAAGAGAAACATCGACTAGCTGCCTCTTGCACATCCCCTACTGGGGATGTGCCCGCAACCAATGTACATGCCCTTGACCGGAATCGAACCCGGGACCCTTCAGTCCGCAGACCGACGCTCTACCGCTGAGCCAAACCGGTTTCGGCTTAACTTGCTTTTTTAACCTTATAGTGTTTTGAGATTAACATACATGACAGTGGGTGTTCATTTGGCTTTTATAAACCAAAGAATGATGAGATTATATATCATATATTGCTTATGAAAATTAAGAACGTATCTAAAGGCTTTATTTAAGCTGTAAAAATTAGATGCCATTATACTTAGGAAAAATATTATTAGTTTTTAGTGCTAGAAGCTAAGTGAAGATGAATTAAAATTTTCAGTGACCTGCAATTAAAGATTTTCAAGTTTAATAATGCCATCTTTATTTTTTTTAAAAAAAGAATACATATGTTTGCTAAAAAGTTTGCTAATGCTACTTTGAAACTTTTGATATACCATATGGCAGGGAACTCATCTTTCCTAGGAATAGTAACTTGAAAAGGCTGAATTGATAGACGAGCTGATGGGAAAGACAAACGTAGAATAAACTCAGTCTAGTATTTCCAGCCACTTCTGTTGGAAATTTTATACTTATTTTAGCTCAGATTTTACTTTGTGTCTTCGTTAATTTTTGTCTTCCCAGATTTAATAACTTTCTAGTTTGATAATATGGCATATAACAGAGAAAAGGAAGACCTCAGACTGTAACAAGAGTTTTAAGGAGAAATATCTGATTCATTTATGTGCTACATTATTCAGTAAACATTTATCTCTTACACAGAATGGGCATATGATAAATATTCTCATAAATGAAAATTTGCAGTGAAAACTTAAATTCGCATGTTATCTTGGATCTTAATTCTTGACCTATTTATACTCACTGTGTAAATAATTTTATTCATACCCATAGCTTTAAATGCCTTTCATATCTAAAATTATATCTCTAGCTCCAACTTTTCTCTTGCATTTAAAATTTGCATATAGAACTAGAATATGTAATAGGTCTTTTAACTATAAGACAATGTGAAGTGTCTTGAATTGTGATGGATACCATGAAGCTGAAGAAAGCAGGGTTAGAATTCACAGAGCAATTAAGGAATGGGTGTTTTGGTGGAAGAGTCAGGGAAGACTCTCTGTGGAGGTGGCATCTGGTGAGAAACTTGAATGAAATGAAAATATGAAGGAAAAATATTCCAGTTGAAAATAACAGCTTCTGCACAGCTCATGAGATGTGAAAAAGTTTCCTATATTTGAGGATCTATGCAAATTATAAATTGTAGTTATGTGACTGGAGTGGAATGAGAGAAGAAATGTTTACATACTTGGTAGTTCATCAGTTTTAAGTATTAGTGAGAGATTTATACAGTCCATGTATTTTTTAATTAAGTGTCCTTTTGGATTAATACATTCTTTTGTTCAGTATGGTACTTGATTTCAAAATGGGTGGATGATGTAGGAATAGTTATTTTGATCGTGGGTAAGCTTGGAATAGTATTTAAACATTAAAATAGCCACACAGAACAGAAGCATACAGGATGGGGCAAAAAATGTTTACAGGATGAAAAATTATACAATAATTAATGATAATTATTAATAACTTTTGCATACTCACAACTATAAGCCTATTTTTATTCACTCTGTATATGAAAATTAATCCTTATTATGTACTTTTTTTTTTTTCAGAAAGTATTAATGAAACTTAGAAAACCTAGAATCACAGCTACAATTTGGTCCTCAGGAAAAATTATTTGCACTGGAGCAACAAGGTAAATTTTACTTGGGTTTTCAATTTTTTAACTTATCCCTCATGGAAGGAACATTTGTAGACTTAGGAACAAAATCATATGTACAGTTTGTCAAGTTCCTCAGTATAAAATTGATTTCCTATATAACAATCTTTTTTCCCCCCTCAAACCGTAGTGAAGAAGAGGCTAAATTTGGTGCCAGACGTCTAGCCCGCAGTCTGCAGAAACTAGGTTTTCAGGTAACATTTTCAAAATGTATCAAACTGCAAATGTTCAAGGATATATTATTATAAAGTTAAAACATTGAATTTAGTAGACTAAAGAAATCACGAAAGAAACTACTAAGGTTTTTATACTGTTCTTCAGTATAAAAAGTTAGTTGCAAAATTTATTCACGTGGATGGTTTTAAAGGATTCTGGCTTTTTTTTTTTTTTTTTTTTTTCAGATTCTTCTTATAGAGAGACACCGGCTTGTTTTCTTACAAGTTAATACCTTTTTCTTTTCTTTTCAGCCCATAAATTTATTGTGTCTTTAAGACACTATATAGCCAAGACCTGTTTGGCTCAGTGGATAGAGCATCGGCCTGCGGACTGAGGGGTCCCAGGTTCGATTTCGGTCAAGGGCATGTACCTTGGTTGTGGGCACATCCCCGGTAGGGAGTATGTAGGAGGCAGCTGACAGATGTTTCTCTCTCCTCGATGTTTCTAACTCTCTGTCTCTCCAACTCTTCCTTCCTCCCTGTAAAAAAACAATAAAATATATATATATATATATATATATATATATATATATATATATATATATATTTTTTTTTTTTTTTTTTTTTTTAAAGACACTATATAATGTAGACTCCTCTCCCTGAGGAGGGTCTTGCAGAGATAGGGAACCATCCTCCATACGAGTTGCTCCTTTGTCATTTTCATAGATGGCTGGATTCTTCCTCCTGGATTTCTCAAACTCCTCAGCCCCCCATGTGTAAACAAGATAAAATGCTACAAATGCTCGCCCTCCACAGTCACAGAATCCATTGGTCTCTGTCCACCACTTCTTAACTATCTTTTTAACTCAATATGCCCTTTAATATGCCCTTCTTCTCCCTCCCCTAAAAAAAACACTAAAACACACACATATTTCTGATCATCCCAAGAGTGGTGTGTGTGTATCACAGTGTTCTGAGAGCTGTAGGACCCTATTGACATGTACACACTAGTCAGCAGACTCACACTTATACAGTGACCATCGCTGGCAGGGTAACCTCATCCAATATAATTTTGTAAAGGCATAAATTTGAATAAAATTAAAACATTATGCACTTGCTAAGTCACTTGCAGATAATGAGTAAATGAAAGATAAAGACAAGTCCCTAAAGAGATGAGCCTAGGCTCTTTTGAATTTGGATGGGAAGTTAAGTTTTCCTCTGATGACTTCAGTATCCTCTGAGGTAGAAGGTGAGAGGAAAGCACTGACGAGCTGGTGCCTGTGGGAGTACTGGTGGTTGAAGACAGGTGGTTTAGAGACAAAAAATGCTGGGGCCACTTTGCACAATTTTATGGCTTCCTGCAGCTGTCTTGTGCAGGTACTGAGTTGGAGGATGGTTATTTATCCAGAATTGTGGTTTTACTAGGAACATTTGAATAGATAAAGATAAAACCAGTCAGGGAGTTGCTGAAGTTATTAATTGTAAGGGACATTATTTTTAGCTTTAGAGTTTCCTATCTTAGCATAAAATTAGAAATGTTTAGAGACATTCCAGTAAATTAAAAGCACAATTTTATCCCTTTATCCCTCACTCTGTCTCCCTAAAGAAAACAAACATCTAAGCATACAAAAGATCATTTTACCGCACTGCATATAAGAAAAAGTCTGATCTTTGCAGTTTAGTGTACTAGTATACTCAACTATTCGTTGAGTTTTAAAGTAGCAGCTTTTCCATTTAAACTCTTGAGAAGAGGACTATGTTTTCATTCTTTACTTCTATTTGCTCTCCTATCCCAGTAGACTGAGTATCCCATTTCAAATATAAAAAAGTATTAAACTAAACATGAAAGTCAATCATGCAAATATCTCAGGTGTTTTTTTTTATATAGTTTTTGAGTTGGTTTTCTTTAATTACAGCATTTAATGAATCACTGATAACTTAAAATACTGTGTCTGTGCTTAAGATATTTGTTTTATTTTATTTATTTTTAAAGATTGAAACTTGATTGTTAAAGATTTCTCTAATGAGCAGATATTTTGTTTCAAAATAATTCACTGAGTTTTATTTCTTTCCTAAAGGTAATATTTACAGATTTTAAGGTTGTTAATGTTTTAGCAGTGTGTAACATGCCATTTGAAATCCGTTTGCCAGAATTCACAAAGAACAATAGACCTCATGCCAGGTAGGTTTTTGAGAAATCAAAGTAACTTACCAAATTTGAAATTACTTGTCAGGCTATAAATACTTAACTTGTGGCTTTTTTTGTGTGTGTGTGTAGTTATGAACCTGAACTTCATCCTGCTGTGTGCTATCGGATAAAATCTCTACGAGCTACATTACAGATTTTTTCAACAGGAAGTATCACAGTAACAGGTATTTTATGACATTGAAACCAAACTTGTCAATTCTGTATTGAATGAGATACCCATAGAATGTCTAATTTGTCCTTTAGTCACTTTTGCCCTTTAAGGGGAACCAGTCTTCTGACTTCAACATGATAGGTTAGTTTTACCTGCTTTCATGTACTGTTTTAAAATCATAACAAAGTACTTTGCTTCTGTCTTCTTTCACTCATTATTATCTCAGTGGGATTCATCCTCCGTGTAGTGATAGATCATTCATTCTCATTGCTGTGCAGTGTCCAGGGTATACATATACTGTCCACAACATTTGGATAGTTTCCAGTTTCGAGCTATTAAGAATATTCTAGTATGTTTTTTCATAATATTACTTTTAAACTTATAATATCTTCCATTTAAAATATATAAGAGAATCCAATTTTATGAACTTCATAAAGGTTTTACATAAGCAGAGATTTAAATATAATTGGTACCTATTTGTTACATATCTTTTGAGTCAACTATTGGGAAGAGGGGTTTCTAAACACACGGCCTGGGTGTCAGAGAGTATCTTGAACTCTGCAGATGATTTGTAAAGGTGCTGTGCTTATAAATTATACAGAGACATTACTTGGGAATCAGACCCAATTTTTGGCACATTTGTGTTAAGGAAATTTCTTTAGTGTCCTTGAGTTTTTTTTATTCCCTCAGTCCTTAAAGGAGAATAAAAACGATTAACACCTTTAAAGACTCAATAAGTTTTAGTTTTGACTCATCCCATGGGTTTTCACACCTACTTCTGAAACTTTTCAAGCTTATTGCCAGGGCTGTGCCTGCATTAAAAGTAGAGTGGTGAGGAACACGTTTGTTTGTTCCCTTCTTTCAGTTGTCATTTCTGTACTTCCAGAATCCAGACTTCTGAGGGGTCCCAAAGTCTACAGATAAGTCTCTGCTAAGTCTAGAATAAAATGATGCATATGTAAAGTCTGTCTTTTGAGTTAATAGATATTTAACAACACAGTAACAAACTGAAGACAACTGACTTGGTTAATTAGGATGCATTATCTATTTACATCTATAATATTTATGAAATCCTATAAATTCAGTGAACACATACTCAGTGGTTCCCATGGGGAAAGCACTGTACTATGGGTAGGGGTAAACTGAGTCGGGAAGGAGTGGAGCAATGTAAGATGTGTTTAGATTGTCAGTCTACAGCAGGTCCATATGTATGTTTTTTAGGATCCTTCAGAGGTGATAAGTATAGTTATGAAGCCATTTTTATTCAAAATGTCATAAAATGTTTTTTATTATTCACTTTCATGTTTCTTTTGAGCTATTTAAATGGACGATTACATTTTTAAAAGTTATTCCCAACGTCACCTCATTCCCTTGTGCTTTCTTTGTGTTCTGTTGCCTGAGTAAGCTGTGAGCGGTTCAGACCAGGTGGCTTAGAGCAGCCTCCGCGTCCCAGCACTTGGGCAGCAGCTCTGTTTTACTCTGCTGGGCTTCCGACTCCGGAGCTTCAGTTGCCCAACAGAAAGCCAGACTGCAGGCTCCAAAAGGATAATGGTTTTCCGGGCCTGTTTGCCCTTTCTCCCTCTAATCATCCTATCAGAGCACTTCCTGTTCTCCTCTGTGAGAGTCCGTGGAGGTTTTTTATGAGCGCTCTTTTCACACCGGTGTCCTAAAACAAGATGAGTGACATCATTGTTGTTTCAGATTTCCTTTCCTTGTCCAGGGAACATTTTTATTCTCTTCGTTTTTATTATGATTATATGTAGAGTTATGTTTGTAGATTATTTAAAACATTGACCCCCCAGGCTACTTGGGTATTTTTAATTGTGAGAACTGAGCTTTTCCTGTTGTTCTCTGTGCTTCTTCTCACCCCTTCTTCCGTTGTGTTTGTTTCAGGGCCCAATGTAAAGGCTGTCGCTACTGCCGTGGAACAGATTTACCCATTTGTGTTTGAAAGCAGGAAAGAGATTTTATAATTCATCACTTAATTGGTTAGAATCCCTAACTGAGCACCTTTTAAAACCTGCTGCACATTGGACTCAAAACAAAAGGAAACTGGACCAACAATAATTGAGAAAATAGACTCTTTTATTCATTCACGGCTACAGTGTAAAAAGCTCCAGTCCCTTTGGATTTTATTTCAAACTTTGCTGTAATATAAAAAGGAAGTTTACAAGACATGACATTGCTGCTTTTACAGAAGGACATTTCTATTTATTTTCGCAGTAATTCTCATGTCCCCATAAGCAGAGCTGTCACAGTGTGCACTACCTTAAATTGTTTTGTTGTTTTTTTTCCAGTTTGAGCTAATGTGTTTTATTTGTGAATAGTCTTTTACATTTTTGTATGCTGAATATGGGCACCAAAGAACCTGTAAAAGTTATCTTTTTCAATTGAATATGCACAAATAAAAGTTTGGAAAAGGTCTCTCTTCATATCCATTCTATAACTTTTATTCCCCATTTTCTATGAATAAAAATTGTAATTCGTAATTCTTTTTTTTTTTTAATCTATGCAAGCTTAGACTTTTGCTAAAGTGTGTTGGCTTTTTTTTGAAGTATGTTTTGTAAATATATATGTAAAGTATCTTTTAATTCTCTGTTACCAAATATCAAATAGGATTTTGTTTTTCCAGATTAGAAATAAAAACATGTATATAAATTCTAGGGAACCAGAATAGAACTTTATAGATTAAGTGTAATGTTTTATGTTGCTAATTTAATATGATAGAAAATGTTAAATATCTTTTAAAAGTTACAAAACTGTAGTTTTAAAAAGAGAAATGAATATAAGAAAGAAGCTAAGCCGAAGCCGGTTTGGCTCAGTGGTAGAGCATCAGACTACGGACTGAAAGGTCCCGGGTTCTATTCCGGTCAAGGGCATGTACATTGGTTGTGGGCACATCCCCAGTGGGGGGGTGTGCAAGAGGCAGGTGGTCGATGTTTCTCTCTCATCGACATTTCTAGCTCTCTATCTCTCTCCCTTCCTCTCTGTCAAAAATCAATAAAATATATTAAAGAAAAAAAAGAAAAGAAAAAGAAGCTATGGTGGGTTGTACCTCATATGTGTACCTTTATATCCTGGAAAGACTCAATGCTAGTTGTAGGAAAGTAATAATCTTAGGTTGGTACTCAAGGCCATACTGTTTTGTCACGTGATATATTGTATTGTTTTAAGAAGTTCCACTAGTTGCCTCTGTGCCACAGTATCATCATCTAGTTCAACTTGAACTTGAAAGCCGTTTCGCAAGATCTGTCTTTCCCTTGCTGTGTCTTATGTAAAGGAGCTAAAGAGTGGCTGTGTATATGGGATGGCTACTCTTAAAGTAATAAATGTGCCTTTGTGAAACTGGCTGTCTGGCCCGGCCACCAGCCCGGGAATTGTAATGCAGGATCAGTCTGCCGTTGTGCTCTGCCCTGAGTGTTTAGGAATTTAGTATAAACAGTGATTTTACCTAGAAATAAGACCTAATCCAGAATCAAATCAGCTTCTCCATAGAGACAGTATTCCAGCACAGTCTTCCTCTAAAACCTGAATTTCAAAAATGTTTGAAACCTTTGTGAAAAATTGCAACATCTTAACTTTTATATTCTAGTACATTTTCCTTACCGTATTATAATATAAAACCTTGAAAACTTAGTTTAAGCACTGCACTGAACAATACATACTATTTTGTTTTTATCTTCTTTTCTATACCTTTCCCTACCCTGCCTCTCATTCCCTCATAAGCAGGGGCAAAGGCTAACTTTTGTATTTTCTTTCTTGTGAAAAACCTAATTGTGATTTTTAGTCTTCTCTTGTCCTTTCTTTTACATTTGTGTTTATTTGCTTCATTTGAAGTTCCAGTAGGACAGATAACCTCATAAAATAGAAAATGAAAAAGTTACAGGTTCTGTGAAGACTTTTAAAATTTGAGATATTCCACTTTTTTAATTAACAGTAATTAGTAAGTGACCTTGGTTTGTTGTGTTCCCAAAAAAAAGGAATATGGAAAGGGGAAAAAACATAATTATATGGCCAGGTTACATAACCAGATGTCGTGCCATTTTCAGTATTCGAGTGACTTAAAAACGAGTAGATCAGTAAGTACCTCATCAAAATGCTTTCTGGGAAAAGAGGAACGACAGTCCGGCCAGGTCTGGTTTCAGACTGCAGGAGCAGCCCTTGGCTGGCTGGCTGGGACAACCTGCGGAATTTAGCAAAGTCGGTGAGAAAGGATACAGTTGGTGTCTGACTGGCTTTTCACAAGTGCTGTGAATGTTTTCATAAATAAAACCTGTGACTATATACATACACATTTGAAGTATTTCCCCTTTTATTTTTGAAAATCAAAAGCTCTGATTGGCGGTGTATTAGGTGAAAATTAGATTGAAGATAGAGTTGTTTAGTTATAGACTCAATATAAAAGAAAAATATTACAAAGCATTTTAAGAACTAAAGTTGAAATCACTAATGAACATAATAAATAGATTGATAAACAATTTCCTGCCCGTTAACAAAGAATGGCTAAACCAAGATAGCTAAAGTATATATAGCATTTGAATTTCAAAGAAAACGTAACAGTTTTGTTAAATATATTCTTGAATGCTTGGCAAAGCACAAAAATTTATACTGATTATTTATCTTGGTTTTTTTTTAAAAATCTCAATATAATTCCACTGAAGATTCATAATAAATTTCTTAAATTGATCCTCTACAGAACACTTTCTCTTCAAAACAAATAAAGGGTGGAAAAAACCACACCAATGCGTGCTGTAACTTGCATATGAAATGTTACACAAGACCCAATGCAAGTAGTGTCTTTGTAGGGAATTGTCCTGAAGTCTGAATGTCATTTATCAAATCTTTCCTTATAACTTTCCCTGCCAGTTTTAATTGAGAGAGTACATTTCAAAACCAGTATTGGTAAACATTCTCCTGAGTCTCTGATAATATAGTTTTACTATGTTTTTAATACTTTTTAAAAAATTACTGATTTTAGATAAGGAAGTGGGAGAGAGGGAGAAACGACGATGAGAAAGAATCATTGATTGGCTGCCTCCTACAAACCCCACATTGGAAATCGAACCGTGACCTCCTGGTTCATAGGTTGATGCTCAACCTTTGAGCAATGCCAGCCGGGCTAGTTTTACTATTTCTTACAACAGTTAGTCTTCCACTTTGTTATAAGGAAATGTAGTGTCATATGCCCTTATATCAAACTTGGGACAAGTTTGTTATGTGCCAAGAGGAAAATAAAAAGGGTCCTTGTTTTTGACTGTTAGGATTCTCTTTTCTTCAGATTAATCATATTTTTTGTATTCATTTTCAAGTTAGGTTGCTCATGTTTTTTTAGTGTCTTCCACAACTTACAATATTAGTAACGTAATGGATTATTATTTAGTGGTTTGAGACTCTTTACTGTAGGTTTTCTATCATATCTAAATTCTATTGGTAAAATGTTTCACCAAGTTTTAAGTCAACTGGAGAAATACACAAGAGAGCAACTCATTATGTGTGTGAAAACTGAAGCTTCTGAGACAGTTGGTGATCTCTGTTTTAGCATAGAGCAGAACATAGGGAATTGTCCTGATGTCTGAATGTCATTTATTATGACTAGTCATCTGAAAGTCAGCATTGGTTATAGCCTGTATGCCATAACCTGAGGTAGTGACAATCCTGAGAAGTACAAATAATTACAGGAAACCGGATTGCTATTAAGTTACCATGAATGCCTTACAAAGAAAATGTTATAAGCTTGGCTTGAGAAGTCCAATGTAATTGCTTAGAGTTTGGGATAAATAATCTAATGGCCTGACTCCTAATGTTTTACTAATAGTTACTTCTAAATAAATATGGTCCCAGGATTTCATATTGTCCTTTCTATTCATCTTTTTAATGGATGAGAACATGCTTATTTTTCTCAGCTATTGAAGAATTGTTTTTCGCATTGTTTTATAATGCTAATATGAAATTCACAAGAGTAAGGTACTTTGCATTACACTGTAGTTCACAATTCATAAAATAAGATGCATAATGTTTGTAACCTGTTAAACTGTAATTAGGATTTATCACTAAAAGCCTAGCATGCACCCTCTCCTAATGCAGACCATATGTGCAATTGTCCACACTGTGTTCTTTTTTACACAAGACCCAGTGCAAGTAGTGTCTTTGTAGGCAAAAAACCACAAGCTTGTGTTTAGACAGCTTATGTATCTGAATGATAAAACCGCAACTGGCCTCTATGCATACACACCTGAAGGCCAAGGTGATCGCATCCCTAGTTCAGTCTGTCAAAGCTACTCTCTGAGAAGGTGCAAAGTGAGGAACCAGACAGCATTTTTTTTACCTGGTATCCTGCTCAGAGTAACAAAGAGCCTTGAGGCTTCTATCTCATTTACCTATTGTGGGTGGAGATTAAAGGCTGTTTTTATAAATTAACTTTGTGACACTAAAGACAAAACATGGCATTGGTCAACACGTATTGGTATGAAGACTCTACTAAATGTTCTTAGACTGCATCAACGTTTATAAGGTTTTGAGGCCAGTAGGTGTCTGGACCAAACTACCTTGGTTGTCCCCCACCACAAAGCTTTTACACTCCAAGAGCTGCTCTTGATGTTTTCTTTTTTGGAGTTGTTTTGGTGCCAATTCCTCTTGGTGATGACTCATAAAGCAAATGTTGTTTTTCACATAGTTCCTGAAAGAGAAAGAGGCACTAATGGAAAATATCGTTCTTAGTTTACAGTACTTGGGGGGGGAAGCACAAGCTATTCTTTTTTAAATCTCCCTGGGCTTTGATGTTTTAACTATGAAAAAAAAAAAAAAGAAGAAGAAGAAGAAGACTGTTTTTATGGCAGAGCCTTGATGTATCATAGAATTGAGTATACCACAGAGCGTTGGTGTGGCGTCTTCTCAGGCATGAGGCATTCCTATATTATGTGCAGAGAAGGACTCCAAGGAGAGAGTTGCATAGGACTAATGTAGGTACATTCGCAGATCCTCTCATTCATTCCATTTTTTTAACTCAGCCAATATGCCTTTAAATATATATCTACATAATCCTATTTTTCATTGTTTCCTCACTCCTGCATGAAATTCTTTTCTACAGGATTATCCCACTCAGCGTGAAAATATTTTACATTTATTAAAAAAGAGAAATGTACCTTTGAACCTCTCTCCCTTTTTAAATAGCTTTTTCTGGAATTTAACCAGTTTATCAAGTGACTGCAATGTGCCTGGTGCTAAGGTAGGGGCTTTGTATAGAGAAGAAAAAGACTCCTGTTTTTAAGAAGCTACATTTTAGTAGAGGAAATAGCACCTAAGCATGTAATTTCAAGTACTGAACATGCCAATGAAGAAAAGGGGAAAGGAATGACTTTCTTTTGGAGGGAGGAGTGGCATATTCTTCTGGCATTTCTAAAGAGGTAATATTTGATCAGAAACTGGAATGAAGTTAAGGAGGGAACCAAGAATTGCAAGTAAAGTACCTTCAGAAAGGCCAGTATGGCTGGAGCATTGATGAGTACATGAAAGACCTTTTTTTTTTTTTTTTTTTTTTAAGATGAGGGAAAAAATACTATACCAGGTTTTTTATGCTAATGAAGAGGTAAAATATAGATGATGTAGAGGTGAGCAGGGAGAACTGTTGGTGAATGTCCTGGAGAAGAGAAAGCGCGAAGTGTTTTGATCTTACATAGGAATGATAGAGCTGAGAGAGTGGGGAGGGATGGTGGTGTATTGGATGTAAATGTGAGGGTTGATGAGGGAAGTTATAGAAGTTCCCTTCTAAGTGTGTCTTTTTCTTAATGAAGTCAGGAGCAAGGCCCTCCATGGGAGTAAGGAGGGCAGAGGAGGTGGGGAGGTTTCCTGAGAGGTATTACTGAGCAGCCACTTAGGGGAGAGGCCAGTGATGGACTGGGGATGTGCCAGGCAGCATCCAAGGCCACGTGAAGTCCATGTTCATTGTTTTAAATGAGACCCGGCCTGTGTGCTTTCTCAGCCAAGTTCATCTATGTGACTGCAGAGGATCATGTGGTAGGCCTTAAAATGTAAATTAGATCATGTCATTCCTCTGCCTAAAATATTTCAGTAGCTTCCCCTTACCCTTAGAATGAATCCAAACTCACTCAGATTATAAATCCCTATATACCAGTATCTATCCAATTTCTAAACTGGATCTCAAAGGTTGCAGCCTCCTGGATTTCTTTCAATTCCTGGAACAGTTCAAGTGTTTCTGCTTTATCATTTGCACTAACTGTTCTGTTGGCTCTTGATTATCACCTAGATTTTATTTTAAATGTTACCTCTCAGAATAATTTCTCAGCTCAATCAAAAGTAGCCACCAATCACTATTTTTTGCTCACTGATTAACAGTAGCACCTAGAAAGAGGCCTGACACACAATAGATGCTCAATAAATATTTATTGAATAAATGAATTTGGGATGAATAAAGGAAGAAATGGCCATGTAAAATTAATTATTAAAAGTGAAAAAGAGCCTGGCCAGTGTGGCCCAGTGGTTGAGCATAGACCTATGAACCAGGAGGTCACAGTTTGATTCCAGGTCAGGGCACATGCCTGGGTTGTGGGCTTGATCCCTAGTAGCGGGCATGCAGGAGGCAGCCAATCGATTCACTCTCATCATTGATGTTTCTATGTCTCCCTCTCCCTTTTGCTCTGAAATCAATTTTTTTAAAAGTGTCTTTTAAGTGAAAAATAGGCCTCAGAACCAAAATACTTACAAAACAAGTACTTGGGGTTCTCTATAGGTTTCCACTTAAGTTGGAGGAAAATCACAGCTGAAATAGCACATGTGGCCAATGTTCCATTTTCAGTTTTTAACTTGCAAGGCAGAAGTTCAAACGAGAATCCTTTCAGATTACATTTTTGCTGAAATCTTTCCCAACCTCTCAGCTGAGTCACTTTATTTTATAAGAAACTTAACAACTTTGGAAGAGTATTTGTTTTCTCAGGCTGGTAGGAATAGAAGTAAAAGAACCCAACTCCAAACACCAGAGAGGAAAAATGTCAGGCAATCTGTAGGATCAGATTGGGAGTTGATATTAGTTTCCTTTCTCACTCCTTAGCAAATCATCAGTACTGTCGCTTTCCCTGGTGACAAAAGTTAATTCATTGTTTCCTTAATTCCTCAATTCACAGACCCCCTTAACTCAGCAGTGTCCTTCCTCCGTCTTCAGGTTAACTTCCGCTTCCCAGGCCTCGCAAGGTCCCTGGGCTCTCTGCCGCCCCACGTTTACTTCGCTGGTTCCATGGCTTTTCAGTACCGTTACGTCTTTTATTTTTATTTCTGTCTCTGGCATTTCCCTCTAGGGAACCTTGCTACATGCATATTTCACACATACTTTGATCAATCTACACACTCCAAGCTGCTTATCTTTTTATTTTCAAAGTCTTTGCCAACCTGCTGCGGCAAGCTGAGACAAGCCCCGGCCCCTAGCGTTGCATAAATAGGAATTCTCCAAGGTTTCTGCCAACAGCCTTGTTACTTAGAGCCTGCCGTCAGTATGGGGCTTCGTCAGTATGGATATACCCCAGCAGAGACTCCTGCTGCCATAAATGAGTTTAACATGCAGGATCGCTTTTTTACCACCTCATCTTTCATACTTCTCTGCACCAGAGCCCTTAGGTGGTTTTGTTCTTCAATACCAACCTCCCAGTGCTTGTGTGGTCTGCCTAGGGGTCGACAGTACCTTGGCTTTCGGTTCTGTCCTACTTTGCAATTTTTTACCTTTCTTGGAGAGTCTGGTGTTAAGTGTGAGTTACTGCATGACTCAAAAAGTAACAGGAATACGTTCCTTTTTAAAACGTGTCCTGATTCAGTCTTACTAATTTAGACAGATTCCTTCCCCACCCCAGATGCTGACAATAGTTTTGTTCCGTTTTGGATCCCATGTTCTTAGGAAATGTCTTATCCTGGAGATCTGCTAGAAGGAAAGATGGGCCTCTCTTAAGTTCTGCCTTCACATTTCCATTGGGTATGCAGTTTGATTCATTCCGAGCCCCCTGTGAAAAGTAGATCTAAAAGTTTCTTAACCTTAGCTCATCCGGGACACTTGGCCTTCAAGTTGCACTTTATATAATAAGAAAGAGGGCAAAAAAAGGAATGATAATAGGGTAGCTTCCTTGGATGAATTCATTACCATTTTCTCACTGGCTCAGTTTTTCAGTTATTACTGCTCATAAGAATTTTAATGAACCTTTATATTTTAAGGGATTTTGCTCCCCCAGCTAGTATATGGGTAGCTCAAAAGTGCATACACACAAGATGGGTTTCCATAACACCAATGAAACGCACCCATGACCCCTCCCCCGCACAACCTTTCCAAGATGCACGTTGTCATGAATAATTTTGCGTTTATAATTTGTGATATTTTTCTTAAACTGGACCCTCAAAAGTTTATTAAGCTCCACAAAATGTGGATCTGCCCCTGCTTGTGGACCTATGTGTTGAGTACCAAGTCTATTTCTCCAACGTGGATACTTCTCTTCAACTCCCGCTCCCAGTAAACACTGGCCCTCTTTCCCTTTCACTTGCATGTCCCATAGGCACCTCAGACCCTGTGCAAACTGCTGACAGTTGTCCCTGACCAGCCAGCCACCAGAGCCCTGCCTCCCACACCCGCCTTCCTCCTGCTCTGGGTCTGACTTCAGTGAATGTCCCAGTGAATGTCCCGGTTAGTTCTCTACGCTCGAGAGATCCCTGTTCCCTAAACTGCCTTTTCCAGTCTAGCTCCGAGCTGTGTAGGTTCTATCCCTGCACCAAGACCAGCCTCAGTTTCCTATCTGATTCCTCCCACACATTCCTCAAAGGTCTCCCTCATTCGGCATCTCCCCTTTCTAATTCCCAGATTTTGCCGAGTGCTTCTTCAAAAATCCAGTTACCCTCTCCCCCTGTCCCGCTGCTTTTATGATGCCCCACTACTTTCAGAATAAAATCCAAATTCTTGACCAAGATGAATCAAGACCCTTCCTGACTCCTCTGTGCCCTGTGCTCTGGGCTCATCTCTCAATCCCCAGCTCAGAACCTGCCCTCTTCATCCCCCACCGGTAAGTGGACTGGCCTCTACGTGTGCCCCCTCCTCTGACCTCCACACAATCCCTTTGCCAAGATAACTCTATCAAGACCTTGCTATGGAATTACCTCTTTTAGGAAGCGTTTATATAATAGATGAAATCCTCCAATGTACTTTGCTTTGTGTCTTCCAACACAGTGTGTTAAATGGTCTGTTTTCTTAAAAAGCCTCTTAAAGAAGCTTTGGATTCTTTGTCTTCTGTATCTTCAGCTCTTTCCTGGCCCAGAGCCGGCCCATAGGAGAAGCCCACAGAGAGCTGAATAAGTAATATTTGGAGTGGTGGAGAGGGAGTGCCTTGGGATAGCCAGTGTGTCTGACTCATCTGAACACAGACCTCTTCCTCCTCCCGTTGCACAGACGACAGAGTAAGTCACAGCCTGTGACCCACAGAGCAGTTGCCTTCCTAACAAGAACAAGTACCTCTACATTTTCAAGTATAAGTTTTAACTCCTGGGAAGAATAACCAGTTCCCCTTCATTCCTGGCCCGATACACCACCTCTTCCCCAGGCCTGTTTCAGCAGTTAGAACCATGAGTTCTGCTATTTAAATGGAATTTCTGATGGCCCGCTTCTGACTTACATTGCTAAAGTGATGCCTGCATTTGGAATGTATTTAACCAGTTTTCTAATTGCAAATTACCTAAGAAACTCCTAACCTTTCTTAAACTTACGTTGTGCCCTATTTGGAATAATTTATAGACATTTATGCCTGAATTTTCCTGATAATCTTAGCTTAAAGAGATCATCAGGTAGGATAGAGATGAAAGAACTGAAGCCCGCCGCTTCTAATGCAAGGTGAGCCTGATGTTCTAGGATCTACCTTCAACCCCAAACAAAAAAACCTGCATCAGGGGAAGGTTGGGGAGATGGAAGGGTCCTTTGATCAGGGCGGAAAGATCTTTGAACAGTTCGCTTGTTAGAAAGCATCGATGACTCTAATTCCTTAAGCCGAGTGACCCAAACTAGATACGCGTCAGAGAAACTGGAATTATGCTATGAGATACGGTTCCACACCAAAGAGAATATCCTAAAATACTTTCAGATGTTGTTATCATTTGGTTGTATATAAAGGCTGCATTTTTTTTTAAAACCAAAAAGTGCTGTTCGGAGAGCAATGCACATCTTACTTACGATTTTGCCAGTTCCATTGATATTTGTTCCAAAGAGCATCCTTTGGTCTCAGGTATAAACGCGACAACGAACCCCAGGGCTGCGAGACTCATGATCGCATATATGAAGCACACCCACGGCAGGCCAATGAGATCTGCAGAGGACGGAAGGAATTGGTTAGAAATGCATTCTGGGTTGCTCTGGTGCCACTTGTTTGTGGACAGCAGCTTCTTGGAGCAGATATAAAAGCATGTATTTCCAAACACGCGATAGTATCCTGGGAAATAGCAGCACGAATGAAAACTACAGCCAGCCTCGGAAAGCGTCGTGCTTACAAACCACCCCAGCTTCCTCCGGCAGAATAAATAGCAGTCTTGCAACACCCAATGCTATCTTTTTGGTGAGCAAGCTTTTCTCTTTGCTCATTGCAAAAAGAGAATTGGAAACAACACAGAAACGTATGAAGCCGAAGGTAAAATATCTCCTCTCTCTCCTCAGGCTCCACAATTCCTCGGAGAACCACTGAGATAGCAGTTTGCTTTCTATTAATGGACATCTTAAAAGACACATTGATACAGATGGCTTTTCTGGGAACAAACTCACCCTTCTATACTCTGAATAAATCATTTACCTGTTGGCAATATTTTTTCTCTTAGTAGCTCGTGTATTTGCAATGCTTCCTGGATTTACAGGGTGGGAGGACGAGGGGGGGGGAGGGACGTGATGGTGGTTCTAACGAAAGGCATTTGCTTGCTCAGATTCAGCAGCAAGAAGCCTTGTTTTCCCTCAAACCACTTCTAGCAGAAGGTACGGTTCCTCTGCAGTGACTGACCAAGACCAAGGTACATTAACCATGAGCTGGCTAGCTGGTGAGAGATGGCCCCCTAGGCACGTGAGCCTGCTTGCATCGGGCCAGCCCTGGTTCTGCAGCAGGAAGTCCAGAGAGGCAAGGGGCAGTGAGGAGGCAGCTGGCTCTTCAGACCAACCACGGGCTGGAACCGTGCAAAGAGCCCTCAGCAGCTGCAGCCACAAATCATGGCTGGTCAGCCAGGAAAGCTGGCCGGACAGTTATGTATGAGGCAGTTCCGTGAGTGCGGTGGAAGGAGCTAGTGTGTAGTCAGCCAGCTGTACAGAGAGGAGAGGCAGGAAGCAGACACAGCACGGCTGTCCTGGCATTTTATTTAAACCGATGTGTCTGTGCTTTTCTTGCTGTCAGCATAGGGTTTGACCCAAGTGAGTGCTTAATAAAGTGCTTGTGCAATTGGTCCTTTTTCCCCTCCTGGGGCATAAAACCAGAATATAGAGTAAAAAGCGCCAAAAGGTTGTCTCATCAGACATGTCCCCTGTTCTGTCTTAGCACTCTCTGAACAGGGGGCTCACCACTTTCCAAAGATTTTCTGGGCACGGTGAGCCGCCCCTATCTGTTGCAAAGGCCTTCCTTTTCAGTTTCTACATGCAAGTCTGCCCTTTAGGAACTCTGGTTCTGGGGTTCTGCTTGGCCCTCTGGGTCGGCTCTCCCCACCCCTCTTCAAGACAGCGTTCAAATGTGTCCGTGCACCTGTATCCCTCCCTGAGCATCCTCTCCTCCAAGCCAAACACCCTGAACTGCAGGTGTTCTTCACAAGCCATGTTAGAGAGGATAAGCGTCTCAAGGTGTGGGTCATTCTTACTGAAGATTATTCTTGCCAAATGCTAAAACGTAGCACAGAATTGTGCAGGCCAGCTGTAAGGAAGATAAGCTTGACAGGAACAACAAGTAGTGCAAATGAGCAATGGCTAAGCCTCTCTGGGGCCAGAGCTTTGGATATCAATCTCCTATCTCTTTTACCAGCTGCAAGTAAATGAAACTATCTACCATGTCTCATTCTTGACTAGAACACCCAAGCAGCGGCCCCCCTTGAGCTCGGTAGCAATAGGTCACATGACCATGTCATCCAGATTGCACTCGGTTGGTGGACACACTGCCACCTTCTTAAAATATTTAAACAGCCTTCTTAAAAATGCTTTACTCAGAGCCGAGCACAACACTGCAGCTGCGTCATGCCCACTGCGAGGAAGTCTCTCTCTGGGACACAGCCTTCATTGACAGCTGAACTTGCACTAGGAAGGTTTGTGTCCAAGGACTTGCTGCCCTTATGCTTTTGACTTGGAAAATTGGTTATTTGAAAGCAAGTAGAGAATTTCAAACTTAGCCCAGTTAAATGCCATCTACGGGTTTCAGATTATCCCAGGATTTGTAAAACGTGGATTCACTTTCCCAACGTCTGCTCTAAAAGCCCATGAAGAACTTTGGCATCTTCTTTAGCCCGTCACATGTATTCTCTACTCTTCCCAGAGATTTGTGTCATCTTTTTTTGTGTCCCGTATCATTTCCATTCTTCCTTTTTTTTAAAAAAAATATATATTTTATTGATTTTTTTTTTTTAACAGAGAGGAAGGGAGAGAGATAGAAAGCTAGAAACGTCCATGAGAGAGAAACATCGACCAGCTGCCCCTGCACACCCCCCACCGGGGATGTGCCCGCAACCAATGTACATGCCCTCGACCGGAATCGAACCCGGGACCTTTCAGTCCGCAGACTGACGCTCTACCGCTGAGTCAAACTGGTTTCGGTTATTCTTCCTTTTATATTTCTCTTCCTCCTCATCAAATAGCAGACTAGTGTGTGTGTGTGTGTGTGTGTGTGTGTGTGTGTGTGTGTGTATGTGTGAATGTGCAGGGCATAGGCTTCTGAGTGTGATTTGAGTAGGAGAGGTATGGTTGGTGTAAATAGTTCCTGTGCTTCCTTTAATTTTGGGCTATTTCTAAAGTAGGAAGGATACACACATTTTAAAATCTTATATAAAAACTTAAACCATGCTTATTTAACAACTCCAAAAGTTCCATAAGTAGATGCACTTAAAAAAAAAAGTTGACAAGATTCAGAAGTACTATATGTAGATATATAAATATCTACATTTTTGAATATACATCCACTTTTGAGAATTTATATATAATATGTGCATATTATTCACATTCTCCCAATGATTTTATAATTATTTTTGTACTTTGTTTGACTCACAACCCAAATACATAACTTAAAATTGATATGTATCTTAAAATCTGTAGGTTTTAGCTCCATTTCTCCTCCCTTTCCTTCCTCTCACTTTACATTTTTAATGAAGAAACTGGGTCATTTGTCTCATAGTTTTCCCCAGGCTGGATTTGCCGATTGTCGTCATATCACATGACCTTCTGTCCTTTGTTTCCTGTAAGCTGCAGTCTGGATCTAGAGCAGCGTTTTTCAGCCTTTTTCATATTAAGCACACAATAGAGCCCCGGTGCATGAAAATTCATGCTTGGGAGGGGGGGTTCCTCAGCCCAGCCGCTCTCACAGTCTGGGAGCCCTCAGCGGCGGGAGGCAACCCAGTGATCAGGGGAAGGTGACGCCCTATCACACTTCTGCTACTGCCACTGCCAGCAGTGCAGGCCTCAGCTGGCCCTGGTTACCTGAGTCTTGGGTAGCCTCGAGTGGCTGGGCAGCCGGCATCTGAGGCTTGCCTGCTCCTTGGGCCAGCCCCGGGTAGTTGGGGGACTGATGGGACTGGGGGACTCTGGAGAGCCAGGCACATGCCCCCAGGCAGGCCCAACCTTGCTGCATGCCTGCCGCCTCAGCAGGGCTGAGGGACTGGGTGCCGCCATTTTGAGGCTGTGGGTGCCGCCATCTTTGAGGGTGGGGCAGTCAATTAGCACATTCCCTCCTTATTGGCTGAGGGTGCCACCATCTTTGTGATAGCATGAGGGTCAATTAGCATATTTCCTCTTTATTAGATAGGATAAGCTAATTACTAAAATGCTGCAGAACACCCAAAATATATTATTTTTGCCAATCTGACAAAAAAAAGGTATAATTTTGATTCATTCACACTGGACAGCTATTGAGCTGGCTGTTACTATTTTTTCATTTGACAATCTAAAGGAAAGAGGTTGTGCTCCTGACTGAATAGTCAGGTATTGCATTTTAAAAAAATTCTTGTGAAATGTCCTAGCTGGTTTGGCTCAGTGGATAGAATGTCAGCCTGTGAATGGAAGGGTCCCAGGTATGATTCCAGTCAAGGGCACATGCCTGGGATGTGGACTTGGCCCCAGTGGACTTGCAGGAGGCAGCCAATCAATGATTCTCTTTCATTACTGATGTTTCTATCTCTCTTTCCCTCTCTCTTCCTCTCTGAAATCAATAAAAATATATTTTAAAAAATTATTTTGCAGAACACCAGTTGAAAATAGAGGCTTAAGAAGATTTAGATTTTCTTGTTTCTTTGTTTGCAACCTCTCACTCTCTTTCTCTCTCTACCCTACACCTTCCCCCCCACTATATATATATATATATATATATATATATATATATATATATATATGAAAACTCAACACCTTGGTCAATTTTGCAGGATACTGGGGAATTATCTCATTATTTAAAAAACTAAACAATAAAGAGAAAATTTCAAGTCTTTATCTTTCCTTTCTTATATGACCCAAACTTCAGGGTAGGCAAATAACTATTACGTATTAGAAATTCCTTCTAGTAATTATAGAAGAAATTTCTCCATTGCATAGTATTAGAGTTAAAAATTTAGAAGGAATGGCTTTAGCTGGTTTGGCTCAGTGGATAGAGCGTCAGCCTTTGGACTGAAGGATCCCAGGTTTTATTCCGGTCAAGGGCATGTACCTTAGTTGCTGGCACATGTTTCTAGCTCTCTATCCCTCCCCCTTCCTCTCTGTAAAAAATCAATAAAATATTTTTTAAAAAATTTAGAAGGAATGATAGAGTGAAAATAACAGATCTGGGCAATAATGCTCAGAGGAAGTGGTTGCGACAAAGCAGGAGTCAAGCAAACGAGACATGCCTCGATGGCAGGACACACACGCCATCATCTACAAAGGAGGTTGCAAACAAAGAGACAAGAAAACCCAAATCTCTGCAAGCCTCCAGACCCAAACAGCAGTTGGCAGGAAACACAAGGGACAGCAGGTCACGCGATACGACAGCAATCAGCAAAATCCCGCCTGGGGAAAGGGATGAGATGAATGACCCAGTTTCTTCATTAAAAATATAAAAGTAGGGGAGAGGGGAGGAGAAAAGAAGATGAAACCTACAAAATACAAGGAGCATATCAATCAGTTGTAAGTTATATATTTGGATTGTGATTCAAACAAACAAAATATAAAAAATAATTATAAGACACTTGGAAGAAATGTGAACACAGGTTGGATATTGACACCAAGGAAGTTTCATTAATATTTTAAGGTGAATAATGATATTGTGGCTATAGTTTCTATTTCATGTGTTCTGTTTTGTTTTTTAATATGTTTTTACTGATTTCAGAGAACAAGGGGGAGGGAGAGAGAGATAGAACATCCATGATGAGAGAGAAACATCATTGATTGGCTGCCTCTTGCATGCCCCCAACCCGGGGACTTAGCCTGCAACCCAGGCACGTGCCCTGACCAGGAATCAAACTTGTGACCTCTTGGTTTATGATTTGACGTGCAAGTATTAAACCACACTGTCCAGGCATGGCTATAGTTTTTAAATGTCTTATCGTTTAGAGGTCCATGCTGAAATGTCTAGACAAATGACATGCTGTCTGAGATGGGCCTTAAAATAATGTGGGAGGACGAGCAGGTGGGATTAAGTGAATTATGGCTGACAACCCTTTAAGTTGGGTAGTGGGTACATCAGGTTCCTTGCCACTCTTTCTTTTGGAATGTGTTTGACAATGTCCGCAGAACAATGTTTGTTTGTGTTTTAGGTTGTTGTTGTTGTTGTTGTGTGTGTGTGTGTGTGTGTGTGTGTGTGTGTGTGTGTGTGTTTAACTGAGTGTGCTTCTCTTGCATTTGTCCTAAGAGCACAAAGGCATTAGTGGCAGAGGACGCAGTCTTACCCGTCACAGTCAGAAACGTCAGCGAGATGAGGAGGTTGATGCCCCAGTTCATGCTTGATGTTAAAGCCATGGCTCGACCTCTGATTCCACCAGGAAAAATCTCGCTGAGCACCAGCCAGGGCACTGGAGGAAAAGGCAGAGGGGGTGGGGACAGCAGAATTATCAAAAAGCTATTGACACCCGGGGGCGGGCCACGGATCTCTGCCCTAGTCTTGCCTGTTCGTGGCTGGAGAACAGGGCCATGTGCCTTCTCCTTACCTCCAGCCAAGTGAGGAAGGGTTCAGGAGGAACTCTGAGAAAGTCTGACAGTGGTCCCCAGAGGAGGGATGGGGATTTGAAATGCTGTGTGTGTGTGAGACACAGGTCGGACAAATACAAATGAGAGGGGCAGTGGGTGGGGCCACCTGCCAAGCACAGAACCTTAATGTCAGTGCCTCCGGGCCCTTTCCTGTAATTTCACTTGCCCTTGACCTTGGAGAAATCCCACAGCATAGCTACTGAGTAGGTAGAACATAATACTCTCACTTGTCTTGCTTGTGCTTCCTGGCCTGGGGCAAACTAAGTAGAGAAAACCTCTAAATTCAATAGAGCTCTAAGATTTGATTAGCATGCCAGACTCCACACACTTGAATCTCTGAAAGGAGACTCTTCTTGGCATGAACACTGATCAGAAGACTTCTTATTATCTGAGAGTGACAGGGAATCTTATAGGACCTGCTTTATGAACTTCGAAAGGGGAGTCCAGGAGTAAATGAACTTGTCTCCTGCTCCCAGCCTATCAAACCTAGTTTGCCTAATAAATTGGCTGTGAGTTCCTACAATGGGCTGAACAATTTACAAAATTTACCTCATCTGATCCTCACAAAATCCTACCAGATGAGAGCTATTACTATAGAACAGAAAACGGAGGCTTAAAGAGTTAATAACCAGCCAAGGTCATGGGCCTCCTAAGTGGCAGAGGTGGCATGAAGGCCTGGTGCCCAGTCTCTGGAACTCGTGCTTTTTAATCACGGTGCTGTCTTGGTGGTGGCTCAATAAATATTTGTTAATGAATAATTAAATGCAGAGTTCAAACACAGTTTGATTCTGGGGAAAGAAGGACTTAGGAGCTGTCCAGCCCTGACTCACTGACTGAGTCATCTTGTGTTGAAAGATGCACCATCCCAGCCCGGAGGAGGCTGTGGGAAGGAGGAGCCAGAAGCTAGGGAGGGTCCCACAGGTCAGCAACCACTCGGGCCACCTATGCCAGAATCATGCCGTCAGCTGTGCCTCTAATTTAATTGCTTTCATGACACTACCATGCTGTAGAGAAAACACCTTCTCCTAGTAAATTTGCTGTTTTAAAGTAAGAAAAAAATAAATAATAGAAGAGGGCAGGAAAAACATTTTTTTTTTCTTGTTTATGGTTATCGTTAAAGCCTGGAAGAAAATGACCATGATTATTAGTGTTCTAATTCACAGGGATTCAGAAACACACATCTATATCACACTCCCCACCCCCCTTCTTGCCCCCAAAGACCTTCACTAGGTTCTTGCAGATTCTGTCCTTAGAGATCAGTGCAGTGCTCCCGTAGCCTTGCCTGATGGGATCAAGACTGGGATCTGGCTCTGAGTAGAATGAGAACTACATAATCCTGATGAAGCCTTTGTAATAACCCGTCCTTGGGCAAATACAAGACAAAATTATGTAGACTGTACGTTTTGAAGCTAAACAATCTATACCACAGACCAGTGCCTCTGTGTCCCTGCCTGCCACGGGTACTTAACATGTTCATGGTAGAGCAGAGGGCCCGACAGCCTTTTGCCCTAGCAGCCATGAGGACGAGAAGAGGGAAGGACACTCTTTCTTTAAGTGAGGGCATTAGCACAGGCTTTTTTTCTTTATTTTCTTTATTTTTATTTTTTTAATATATTTTTTTGATGTTTTTACAGAGGAAGAGAGAGGGACAGAGAGTTAGAAACATTGATGAGAGAGAATCATTGATCAGCTGCCTCTTGCACACTCCCTACTGGAGATGTGCCCGCAACCAAGGTACATGCCCTTGACTGGAATCGAACCTGGGACCTTTCAGTCTGCAGGCCAACGCTCTATTCATTGAGCCAAACCGGTTTCGACATCTTTCTTTGAAAAAAAAAATTATATATATAGTTTTGCCCTAGCTGGTTTGGTTCTGTGGATAGAGTATTGGCCTGCAGACTGAAGGGTCCCAGGTTCGATTCTGGTCAAGGGCACATGTCTGGGTTGTGGGCTCAATCCCCAGTAGGGGGGTGTGCAGGAGGCAGCTGATCAATGATTCTTAAAAAAAAAAAAAAAAAAAAAAAATATATATATATATATATATATATATATATATATATATATATATGTGTGTGTGTGTGTGTGTGTGTGTGTGTGTGTGTGTGTGTGAGAGAGAGAGAGAGAGAGAGAGAGAGAGAGAGAGAGAGAGAGAGAGAGAGAGAGTAATTTTATTGATTTCAGAGAGGAAAGGAGAGGGAGAGAGAGAGATAGTAACATCCATGATGAGAGGGAATCATTGATATGCTGCCTCCTGCACACTCCTCACTGGGATGGAGATCACAATCCCAGGATGTGTCCTGACTGGGAATCAAACCTTGACTTCTTGGCTCATAGGTTGATGCTCAACCACTGAGCCACGCTGGCCTGGCCGCACAGGTTTTCTTGATTTACTTCCATCCCCACTTCCTCATCTCTGAAACCCTGTTCTTTCCTTTCCCACCTTTCATAATGAAGCTTCCTGGAGTCATTCAGTGGGGCCTAAAGATTATCATTGCTGAGGTCATCAGAGCCATGTTGGCCAGAGATGAGAATGAGCTGGTCCTGCTGTTACAGGAAGTGTGGTCTCGCCAAGCAGAAGATGGAGCAGATGCAGGAGATACGAGTTGTTAACTGCTCAGTCTGAACTGCCAAGAGCACCCAGGACCCACACTGAGAGCCTTTCCGAAGCACGTATGCCCTGCAGCACTGAGCCATGTCCTCAGGCAGTCTGACCAGCCCGTGGGCAATGAACTGACTGCTAAAAGAGACTTTCCTCAGTCTCTCATGGAAACGTGTCGGGCAAACCTTGCAGCTGACATGTCAAGAAATAACGTAGCATTGCTGAAAGCTTCTAGTTCTTTTTAGAAAGAATTCTGAATTCCTTCTAAATTCTACTTCCCAGAGAGAGAATTCCAGAACTGAAGCCTTGGTTTATCAAATAGACTGGATGTTGCAACAAAACTGATGTGTTTCAACAAGGATAGTTCACCTCCTAATATGGAATCTAAATAAAAAATAAGGAGAATCTTATTTTAACCATAATTTTAGTACCACAAATCACAGGTTTTCTGATCCTGAGAGTGTAAAATAAAAATCAAAATGGCACCTGCAGCAAGAGAGAACTTCCGGAAAGGGTCAGAACCTTTCCATTGCAGACTAAGGAGCAAGACAGGGCCGGACTCCCCCAGGCCTCCATGTTCCCTGGGCCAGGGCTGTGAGTGCCCCTAACAGGACAGACAGAGAAGCTTTGTTTCAGTTCAGAAAAGGTACAGACCCTCACCCGAGGATTTGATATGCTGATATTTATAATGTAAAGTGTCTTAAAACCACTGATGTCTTTTAGAAGGAGTTGGCCTAATTTCTCCCCCAAGGAAAATCAAGCTGTTGCCACACACCACAGTAGAGAAGTGGTGGCTCTCTCTGGCTGTCCTTGTGTCCCCTTCCCTGATCACAGCCCACATGAGATGCTGTGTGCTCTTTGCTTGGGAGGAATCCACAGAGTATCCAGAGACATAATGAATGCCTACCAGGAGCTCAGTCACTACAGTTTAGCGGGTCCGGAAACAATTCTTCTTGACCCCTATTACTCCACCTTCAACCCCACCATCCCAGGACTCCCTCAGCAATATCTGTCTCTATAAATGTCAGCATCTGCACGTCTTTAAGGCCTTCACTGTGCTGCACGGATTTGCTGGGAGATAACTGAGCACAGATATTAGACTCACATTTCACATGATATTAAATCAGGCTGCCTGTCAGAACCTGCCTGGTTCTGATGAGTCTGCAGAGTGTTTATGGCTGTACCGAGTGTCATAAAAACACCGTGATGAGCAATAAGTTAAAGTGGCTCTGTGCGCAGGGGAGGACACGGACTTGGATTCACAGGGGCTGTCAGTGGAAATGACTGAGCCCTGCCACATGGAAACTGCCATGGGCATCTCCCCTCTCCTCCATGTTGCTGCCACTGGCACAGTGTTCCCCACCGAGGTCGTCAGTTCTCTCCCTGTGCTCGCAGATGTAAACCTTGGGGAGCTCCAGGCACACTTTCCTTTTGGCTGGAGCTCTTCCTGAACCACTGGGTGTGGTATCCCCAGGTGTGAAAGTCACACGGGAGTTTTGAAACTCTTACCAGAAAACGCCTACCAACTTTGGAGGAAGTTCTGTGCTTTGCCTGCAGATTTTTATTTATTTTAAATATATTTTATTGATTTTTTTACAGAGAGGAAGGGAGAGAGATAGTTAGAAACATCAATGAGAGAGAAACATCGATCAGCTGTCTCCTGCACACCCCTACGTGTCCTTGACCTGAATCGAACCTGGGACCTTTCAGTCCGCAGGCTGATGCTCTATCCACTGAGCCAAACCGATTTTGGCTGGCTGCAGATTTTTAGCAATTTGGTTTGCCCAGGAGCCAATCCTATACTTTGTAGGACTGAAGCCAACTCCTACAGTTTCTATTACCTATGCAAGTAGCATGCAGCCCACCCAACTCTTATTGCATAGGGCTACTTTCATGTGAATTTGAAAGAGAATATGACCACTTTCTTCCTCCCAACCGGATGTTTAGATTCTGGCATCATAAGTTCCCTAAGTGGGAAAAATTACATTCTTTAAAAAATATACTCCACCATAGGTCACCATCTCCCACATGTTAGTAGCTTTAATTCATTTTTATTTTCTTGTATTCTCTCTTCTGTAAGTCTCTTTGAGTTTTATTCACCCTGGGCCTTGTGAAAACAAACAAACAAATAAACAAACAAACACCAAAACTTCATTCAAGCTGAATTTCTTAAATAACAAATCAAGACATTCCAAGGTGAATGCCACTGACTTCTAGAATTACATA